GCCATGCGTACGACCAATAGTTGATATTACAGAAGAAAGGAGTCCTGAATGAATATAGCATTTGGGTTCCTATTGTCGCTATACGATGAACCAAAAGATGCTGACCAGGTTTAGGTCTCTCTTAACTCATTTCAAAAACCAAAACCGGTCTCATTGCCAAGATCCCTTGCTGATACTTCAAGCAAATATGTCCATAATTTATCTCAAGAAATGTTATCTGATTGCCGTGGAATGAGTAAGGAAACACCTGGCAATCTTTAATACCGAAGGAGAAGTGCCTCTTAACTATAGTACCTACTGATAGTTGCTTAGAACCTTGGTGATTATGATCTTAGCGTTAATGGAAGTAATTAGCACATTCTTGCAATAATAGACATTGATGCGGAAGATTACACCACTTGTTTTGACTGGAGTCTCTTTTCTCTGCTATATTAGAACGTGAATCTAACTCAAAGAAGCTTAAAATATAATACAGCAGTCTATTTTTATGTTGAAGACATTTTGGTTCGAGGCATTTTCAAGATTGCGGTTTATATAAATTCTGTTCTTGATGTTTATAAAACCCTTGTGGTTTTAGTATGGCGATGAGTTTAGACTTCTGCGCATAGCGAAGTTGTAGTTAAAAGCCAATAACTATATTAAAGGGGCAGGACAATTATAGGTAGGGTTGGTGTGGTTACATTCAACGTAATGATGGTGAGTCATGTTGGGAAGTCCTGACCTAATACGTAGGGCAAGGTAATCATATATTATTACTAGTAGGAATGAAATCATCCAACCTCAAGTATTGAATCAGTTACAATATTTACTAGTATTGTATTACGTGCAATGGGTTTTAAAATATAACAAACTAGTCGGAAAATGGATAATGGATTATTTAGAAGTTCCATATACTCGTGTTCATGCGTCGATGTGGTTTCTTTACTAATGTAAAGCATATGTTATAGCGGTTTTGGCTTCATGAATAAATATAATGAATTCACTTAAAGCGTGTCTATTTACAGTAATTTAGCAATAACTCTCTGATAAATATTTCCAACGACCTTCAGACTCGTCTTTAGATGCCGTGAACAGTAATTAACTGAATGCAAATGAACAACTAATTATGGGAACCTCTTTGAATGACTTAACGTTTATAATAAGAGTTTTTACTGTGATAATTGAGGAGCTATTACAATGTTTACACCCATGCTCATGACTTAGTCATAGTAGATCATGATGCATGGCAGACTAACCAAAGTGATGACTCAACCGTTAGCCAATAGAAGTCTCAATAGCTTGTAATGTTTGCTTTGACATGTATAGATAATCTTCGTTGTGTAGTCTAAGCCCTTTTGGTCTCCGTTCCCAGTAACATTAGCATACAATGTGGGGTCTACGTATGTGGTGAGTGCGTACATTTTGGATAGGTTCAAGGTGACGACAGGTGTTAAGCGTCCAGACTGCAAGTAATTAATTTTATGGGCAACCAATTGGAACCAAGGTTCCCCACTGCTTCCTTGAAAATAGTTTTGTAATAATGAGTCGTCTGTCTGCGTGATCGGTCTTCTATTCAACAGTTTGAGTGCGGATTGCTGCAGTAAAAAATCAACGTTCGCGTAATGGACTGATTGACGTTTCTAAAAATATTCATTGTTTCTTTTTATTACAATTTGAATCGTCCAAACACAATAACAGAATCAAGAGAGTTTATGATCTATAACACAAATAACGGCATAAGCGCCCGGTGAACTTTAGCGTTGAATGTTGCAATTACTTTGTTCGGTATTATAATACGAGTAATACTGTCAAGTCACGCCTGAACATAAGTTAATCTACTTAATCCGGGACTCGATTGTATCATTGGTTTGTGCGATAGCCGGAAATGTAGCATATGTCCTAAGATCATGGTACAGCTGACCTCGGTCTCTGCTCTTGAACTAAAAACCGGCCTGCGAGGCGCTCGGGCGGCGCGCGCGGTCTACATGACGTCATTTGCGCGTGCGCCGAGCTTTACACGCTTCGATTTGTTTTGCTTTTGTAAGTTAGCGGATTTCTCTCCGATATTCGCTGCAGAATTAATGACTTTAGAAATAGAATAAACGATTAAACTTGATTAATTAAAAATTCTTCGAAAGGGAACCATGTTGGTATGGCGTAGGTATTTCTATTTCCAGTAGAGATCCCTTAAATATAACATACGGCTTTATTGACAGCACAGCATGCATAAAGATGAAAAATGTTTGTATTAGTAATGATGAAAGCACTCAAACCTTTGTAGCCAAGTCCAAATGAATTAAAGTCCATGTAAATCTGATCCTCGACGAATCACGGAGTCTTTTGAGAGTCCTTGACGATCATAAAAGACCGACAACTGTTCAAGATGCTCATATAAATAATATCTCAATTATTCAAAGTAGAGGAAGCTTCCGATGGGATAAAAATATGATGACGTTGAAGGTTCAATACATATTTATATGGATAATAGATGTGTAAATGATCGTACTCGTATATTAATAAGTTCTCTTACTCATAGCGTACATATACATGTACTTATAATAAATTCGTAATCGATTTCTTGTTTTGGATGACTCACCGTACACCGATCAACTTCTTTTTGCCAGATTTTATGAGTAAGTACATGCTTTGTTTGTTTTTATAGCTAGAACTTGGAATGAGAAAATTATTTCTTAAGTTCATGAATAAAACGGTGGCCTACTTTCATCCTGCTTGAGCAGAAAGGACGTAATTGCCAAGAAATGCTCGAAGTTAAATAAGACTCAAGACAGTCTTTTGATGAACCAATGTAGTTTGCACTTTGGCGCATAACATAACATCACGCCTTTTATCCCCGAAGGGGTAGGCAGAGGTGCACATTACGGCACTTAATGCCACTGTATAATACAATGTAACACCCACTTTTCACTATTTATGTTATGAGTCCCATGTAATAGGGGGTGAGCCGTATACCGGGCACCATTCCAGACTCCGTGCTACCACTGGGATTTTTTGAAAAAGCCCAGTAATACTTTGCCCGACTCGAGAATCGAACACAAGACTCTCGGCCAACGAGGCAGCACTTTGGAGATTAAGTAGAAATAAAATTGGTCTGATTTACAAAACTGCTATCATTATAACAATAATTCATAACCGATTATTTGTTAAAATATCGTATTCTCAGTTAACTCCAAGTCCACAATACTCATTAAACCAGATGTAGGCATTACATCATCAGTTTTAACTACGTGTGGACGTAAAGTTACATATTTATTTTGTCCGTCACATCTACGGTTAGCATCTGGCCGACTCCGCCATTGTCGCGTGCATCAGGTCGATGGCCTAATAACCTCGCAGGTTATGAATTTCGGCACGGCATCACAGCCATACTTTTCGTATTCAAATTGCCTGAAAGTTATGTCCAAAACTGTTTGTGTTCAAGCCAAAGTATTATTTGTTCCATTAGGTAAATGGAAAATATTTTTACCTTATTATAATACTGTATTGGTTCTTGTTGATGCGTCAGTGATGATGTTACGGTCGTCATAAGCATGCCATGATAGTATATAATATACTATGTTAAGATTTATTGGCTTCACTCGTAATGAAACACAGTGGCAGTTCTATTTATCAGCAGATCGCACATTCGTACCATAACCAGTTTTGCCTACACAAAAAATATCCCCCGATCTTCAGCCTTAATGCTTTCGAAGAAATCGATTAAAAATATCTCATTGCATGCTCGTATTTATTGTGGTGGTAGCAAAAAAAGAGATTTTTGCTGGTTGGCTTTATTCTTGGCTTTTGTGTTTCATCACTTACTTATTATGATATCATATTTATGTAAGTGTTGGACAAAGTCACAGCTAGCCCCCCCTAAATACAAACATACAGACCAATAGTTCCTATCTTTTAAACCGTGCACTTAAATATATTGGAAATGGTCAACGGATCAGCATTAACACTTCATAACAAATTGTTCAACGAGCCGTGTAAAAATCTTAATGGAGGCAATGAGCCGCGTCTGACATGCTATTCATAGATTTTCTACTTCATTTGTCATTACTATTAATTGATTTTTAAGTATTATTTGAATTATTTCACGTTGTTTACCGTGACGTCATTTTTGTGGTCATTATGTCATCGGCTTTAAGGAAATTATTAAGTTATCTGTGTGGGTCGAGCTCCAGACTTGGCGCCGTGTTTAATAAACAGCTTTGTCACAGACAGAACATGACATAAGTAATCATAAGTTAGACTTAAGGAGACATCATAATAATGCTTTAAAAGTTTAAATTAAGTTGTCATTTTTCGGAAAATTATGTTTATTTTGTCCTTTACTGTATAGGAGCAGTAATGCAATTGCTTATTTGATACTTAATTGGTTTGGAATGTATCCCAAAGATTTCATTGTCAACCAACAGCCACATTAATAACAAGAACTTCATTGTTATAAGTTGTTCGCTTATCTTGACTATACGTTGGACAGATGTCCATACTTGTGTGACTTTATGATGTATTCATTAACTATCTTCGCGCCATAAACGTATTTGGTTATGATAATTCACCTCCCACGCACCATAGTTCAAGTTCAGGTTAAGAGCAAAATACATAACTTATTATTTTGCGATTAAACTTAAGTAAATTGTAAACTACATATTTTTATAGTAGCTTAAAACTTTACAGTATAGGTTTTGTATTGAGCTAGCTACCACGCGTTAATGCATTCTTAGATAGTTCAAATGAACAAAATCCATAGTTACTAGCGACCCAGCCCGTCCTCGCACGGGTGCAATAAGCATGTATTATATATTTAAACCTTCCTTAAGAATCACTCTATCTATTAAAAAAACCGCATCAAAATATCAAAATCCGTTGCGTAGTTTTGAAGATCTAAGCATACATAGGGACAGACAGACGGTGGATGCAAATTTGTTTTATACTATTTATTTGAAATATGTCTCAAAGACAATGCGAAGCACTTCCTTGATCTTAATTAATCCTTCATATTTTCATCTCATCAGGTTTCAACACAACAAAATCTACACGTACATTGGCGAGGTGCTGGTCTCCGTGAACCCGTACAAGAACCTCGACATCTACAGCATGCAGCACATGGCTCAGTATAGAGGCCGGGAGATGTTCGAGGTCACACCACACGTCTATGCCGTTGCTGACGCTTGCCAAAGGGTTCTTAGGCAGCAGGTGAGGAACTTTATTAGAAATGGTGTCTTTAAGGCCCCTGTGAATAATTTGCTTATGGGCAGGCGTGCCCCAACATAGGCTACATCATCACTTACCACCAGACGAGATGGTGGTTAAACGTCGACCCATTTCGAAAAGAACTCTAATGCTTTGGATTCGAAGGTGCATAAAAAGCAAAATAGATATTTAGTATTATTAGTTTTATTTTCCTTCAAACAGAGTCCGACAATCTGTATGTTTACCTCTATATTTGCAAAACAAGTAAAATAAACAGACGTTGCTCCTTACCTGTGCGATAAAAAGACAGATGCTAAAAAGACAACACCAGTAATCTCTATAAACTATAACGGTTACACAAGCTGCATAAACCTTTGTCAAGAAATTCTTTCCTTTATAACACAAACAAACCTCTAGTACGACCTGACTTTAACTGCTGTTGCCTCTAAAGCCTAACGTGTATGCCCTCAGTGCAACTGTCTTTTATACAAGCTGAAGGTTAAATTGAAGCTTTAACCCTGGACTAAGAAGGTTCTTTTTCCAACGTTCTAAAATCGAAGTTGTAAATTCACAAACGGTTTTTAGTGTACTTTGCATTTTACTATAGTACTTACGCGCAAAGGATTGGCACCTCAGAAGACTGTTGTTTATGCGTGTCCATAAACTTTAAACCTTGATTTTGAAGCATTAAAGTTACGTTTTCCATGTATGCCAAACATCGTAAAATAGTTTTACTTCAGCAGACCACCCAGTGTCTTTTTGTTTTGCACACTTCTTACTGATAGCTAAGCTAATCTATCAAACAAATAAACAATTGATGATTTGTAGTAAAGTAAAGCACATATCTATCTCTGGGTGTCCATTACGTATATTCTAAATTCAAAAATATTCATATTTTAAATTTTATTTCAGGGTAAAGACACATGCGTGCTAATATCAGGAGAGTCAGGGTCAGGGAAGACGGAGGCATCCAAGTTCATAATGAAGTACATCGCGGCTAACACAACACAAGTTCACAGGGATTATATTGACAGGTAATGTACAAAGCACGTTATTGTGATTTATCAATAGACTGAGAGGAATGTTACTTGTGGATGCGACCGCTGCAAACAATAATAATATTATTATGCATGTAAGAGAAAGCATGTTTTGGGAAACTCTGTTAGCTTCTCTTATACTAAATAAGTATAGGAAACGTAGAAACATTTGAAAACTTGATTGCAATAGGCTCACCCATCGTACATTATATATGTATTCATAAACAACAGTTTAAACTAGGGTGCGTCGAAGCCCTTCTGGGAAATGATTAGTAATGGAAATTAGAATTGCGTCCAATGAAAACAATAGCTAACATAACATAACATCACGCCTTTTATCCCCGAAGGGGTAGGCAGAGGTGTACATAATGTCACTGTACAATGTAACACTCCGTGCTACTACTGAGAGTTATTTTAAAAACCCAGTAATATTTTGCCCGACCCGGGAATCGAACCCTCGGCCAAAGAGGCAGTCAATATAATAGCTCTCATAACAAAATTGCCAAAATATACCAGTCAAGGAATTATAAGACTTAATTACATTGTTTCAGGGTGAAAAATGTACTAATCCAATCAAATTCTATATTGGAAACGTTTGGTAATGCGAAGACGAATCGTAACGGGAACTCGTCACGTTTCGGCAAGTACATGGATATCCACTTCGACTACAAAGGTGACCCCGTGGGAGGACATATCAGCAACTACCTGCTGGAGAAGAGCAGAGTGGTGTCCTTACAACCAGGGGAGAGGAACTTCCATGCGTTTTATCAGGTGAGACTTATTTCTGAGGTGTTAAGGTCCAAGTTGGAAATGTTGAAATTGTTGTTGAGTATAAGTATGAAAACATTGGAGTGTTTAAATAAGCTTGCTTGTTTGATGGAGATATTGGCTCTGAGTAACATACAGCTCTATGTTATTCACACTTTGTTTTGGAACAAAAGTAAGTTAAGTATCCCCAAAATCTAGGATTCTCTATGCATCAGAAAATCACATAATACTTGTATCTCGGAGTAGCATCTAGTTCATTACATGCGATATTTATAAATAAGCGTCTTATATCATCGGTCTACCAATAATTGTTCGGTGACGTCACCCGTGTCGGGTATTGTCCACCGTGCCGTTGTCTAATTTATTATGTTTTAATGGAATTCCTAATATTTCGTATACATAGGAATATCAATTGTGTGTCAATCCTGGAAATTTAAATATATTTTTACTTGTATTTACTGTTTATTCGGTAATTCCTAAATAAGTAATATTTTTATCGTCACAAAGAAAATAACATGTATTGAATTATTATTGTTCTTGTTCTTAGTGATGAATAGGCTATCGAATTTTTATGTAGAAGACATCTTCAAAATATCGGGGAATGAATCAGTGTGGAATGCAGAAAAACAAGAAGTACCTATGACAGAGAAAATACCAAGTCTTATAATAAACATCAAGGATGTTGAAAATAAGGCGGACTTAATGTTACTTAGACTGGATTGAAACACCAAAATGTCAGTGGTGTATTTATGTGTGCGTGTACTTGCAACACCGTAATGTGTGAGGTGTAATGACGGGCCATGTCACGCGACAGATGTCCTTCGTGTCAATGTGTGTGTATCCTGCGTGTAAGGCTATAGTAGTCAGGAGCAACAGTTGTTGTTATAAGCCTTTTTTCAACGTGCTTGCTAAACATGTTGCATATTTCCGGAGGTAATTAATATGATAGATTTTTTTGGGCCTCCGGTAACCTCACTCACACGAAGAAATATAACGCAAGCGTTGCTTCACGTCGGTTTTCTGTGAGACCGTGGTATCACTCCGGTCGAGCCGGCCCATTCGTGCCGAAGCATAGCTCTCCCACACTTACCACTTCACTTATATAAATGGTGACGATCCTTAACTAATCATCATTTATTAGAGATAAATAACTTTACCCTTCAAACTAGAAATCCTAAATCGCACAAAATTATTACAATGGCTGTTAGTAATGTCTGTTTAGTAAACAACATCTAGTTACGCGTTAGAGGACGCACGGTAACAGTAAATATTACTGCCACTACTATAATACTTGCTTGTTTACGTTCCACGATAGACTAGTCTACGTTTCGACATCCGAGTCATCCGACAACACTCGATGAACGTCAGTTTGTTATATGTTGGTCGGGTAAAGTTCATCATCTCGATTTGTTTAAAGTTATACAAGCAAGTATGCATGTTCTATTTTGTCCGATTTGGAATAAAATAAAACATTACATGTACTCTCTGTTGATTATTTGTAATCACGTCTTGGGGTAGTTGCCAGGGAATGAAAATTAAAAATCTAATTAGTCCGTCAGTTAGGTAATGAAAAAATATTAGGCACGTATTTTTTTATTTTCTCGTATAATGTTACAATACTTAGATAAAATGGAGTTATGTTTAAGAGTAGGAGGTCGTTACGTCACTAAGTGCAACAAAATGTAGCGTATTGTGACGTCACACGATATTTCAGATTATTATATCGTCGAAAGAATTTAATTTTGTAAGAAAAGAAAAAATACGTTTCTAATGTTTTTAATTCATCTACCAGACGAACATTAAAATATAATTTAGGCAACTACTCTATTGTATTACGGGAAGTGTCCGACTCATCATTCGTTCATCATTTCCAACTCATCCGGAGCCCGTATCATAGTAACGTAACCTCCAATTATATTATTTAGTTAGTCTGACGACAGTTACTGTCTTTATTTCTAGCTACTAAGCACAAACAACGCGACGACAAAGAAGTATGGATTGTCATCCAGTGCAGTATACCAGATACTTGGCAATGAGCGGGCCACGGCACAGGACTCGAAGCTGTTCAATCAGACGAACTCTGCGTTCACTGCGCTCGGGTTCACAAACTCTGTGCTCGATGATATATGGAGTATTGTGGCTGGAGTTATTCTCTTGGTAAGTCGAATTATCTTAATGTTTAATCTAATTGCGTTGTTACTTTGTACTGCAGGGTAAGAAGTCTAGGATTGGCACTAACTAAATTCTTACATAATTTTCGAAATCTGCACCTATGTGGCGTCTCGTCATCATATGAGCCACAAGACGTTCATCTGCGTCACATAGGCCTCTCCAAATAACTTTCGGATCGGAAGAGCAACGTTTAGAAGCAACTTGCATGCAGCGCCTTCCTGTGACCTTTATCAGATTGTCTATGCACCTTCATCATTTTCATCATCATTAGCAGCCTATAAGTGCCCACTGCTAACCAAAGGGCCTCTTCTCTCGTCGGTAGGCCTCGGTTTGAGCATTAATAACCATATCTCAAAACTTATTCGTGTGATCCGCTTGCTCAATGCGGGTTGGCGATTTCAAACTTACAATTAGAAATTATAAGCCCGGGTTTTCTCACGATGTTTTCCTTTACCGTTTGTCAGAGGTGTCTAAATAATCTTAGAAAGTACATATAACTCGGAAAATGTCACATTGGTACTTTGCCTCGTGTATCAGAAGCAGGCTTAACTACCGTGCCACCACGATTCTTATGCACGTTATAATCACCTATTACATTGTATAGGACTAACGTTGCCACTGTCTTCCAGGGCGAGTTAACGTTCACAGAGTCCCAAGACGGGCAGCTAGTGATGGGCGGTCCAGTGAAGCAGTGCACGAGTGCGCTGGGAGTGTCGGAGCAGGCACTGCGCTCCTCCATGGCCGGCAGGGTGCTGTCTGCCGGAGGAGACCTCGTCAACAAGGAACATTCCTTGATGGATGCCAACTATACGAGGCTGGCGTTGGCAAAAGCTGCTTATGATAGACTGTTTACTTGGATTGTGCAACAGGTTGGTGTGTTACCTAGTATTAATGCTAGTAATGTAATGACTCTTTAGAAACACGACGATTTCAAGAACGATATTTCTTTGAATTAAACTGTATGCGTTGAAGATTTTGGCCAAAATTAACATAACAATTATTTAGCCAGAAATCCTATATTGTTGAATAGTATCAAAGAAATATTACCCTTATTATTTCAGCCACTTAAGTTAACTTTCATTTCCAGATAAACAAAGCGATAGACGTCCCGAGCGGGACCTATAAGAGCACTCTGATAGGCGTACTCGATATCTACGGGTTTGAGATATTCGAGACCAACAGCTTCGAGCAGTTCTGTATCAACTACTGTAACGAGAAGCTGCAACAGCTCTTTATTGGTAAGAATATATTTTACATATTTCTATTTAGTACTACGAACAGGGTGATCACCTGATGGTAAGCAACCGGCACCGCCCAAGGACATCTACAACACCAGGGGCGTTACAAGGGTATTACCGTCCTTTTGGAGTTTTGGGGATTAGGGATTTGAGGATGGAGAGGATAAGAGGTGGGGGTATTTGACCTCTGGCAACCTCATTCACCCGGCGGCACACAATGCAAGCGTTGTTTCACGCCGGTGTTTTGTAAGGTCGTGGTATCACTCCGGTTGATCCGGCCCATTCGTAGTGCACCATGACTCTCCCGTGTTACAAATAACAGAATAGAAGTACGATGCACGATCGTAATATGAATATGTTATTCCAGAGCTGGTGCTGAAGCAGGAGCAGGAGGAGTATGCCCGCGAGGGTATCCAGTGGACTCCGATCCAGTACTTCAACAACCGCGTCATTTGTGAACTAGTGGACGCGCCGCACCAGGGACTCATCGCCATCATGGACGAGGCCTGCCTCAACCCCACCAAGGTACATACCTCAAATACAAATAAAATAAAAACTAAAAAAGAGGGGACACATAGTTTTCTTATTTTTTCAAAATACATTTGCCAGAGTCTGTATTTCCTGAAGGGTATATAACCTGGGAGTCTTCAAGGCTCGAGTGAATAGGTTGCTTATGGGACGACGTGCTCCATCGTAGGCCGCATCATCACTTACCACCAGGCGAAATAGTGGTCAAACGTCGCCCCATCAAATATATAAAAAAAACGTAACAACTTCGTAAAATCTTTTTTTCGATTCTATGTCAAACCAGTGAATGTTGATTTTTTAGACTTTCCAATTAATTCCATGTTGTAAATGTATGTTGTATATTTGTGCAGATATCAGACAAACAGTTACTGGAAGCAATGGACAGGAGACTGAACGGCCACAAACACTACACGTCGCGACAACTCGCGCCCACAGACAAGAAACTCAAACATGGCGTCGACTTCAGAATTACGTGAGTATAGTTCTCTTAGATTGCTTTGCTAAATATATAATAAATAAACAAGAAATCTCTTTCGAAACGCCTGATCGACGCATCTCGCGACCAGAGGGCTAGTCTATTTCTCAGTCAGAGGTTAAGCATTGCCATACAACGTGGCAATGCCGTCAGCCTTCTAGGTACTTTCCCTATTGACGTCGATGCGGACGAATTTTTTTGATGCTCTGTGTAGTTATTTTTAGTTTTCTTCTATTAAATTTTTGTGTATTTTAAGTTGTAAATAGTTTCTTATTAATGTAAATAAAGATAAGTAAAACATAAAAATATAAAAGTAAACTATGTAAGTTTGGGAACTATAATTTGATTGTCTACTAATTCTGATGATGTAATGACATTAATTAAAAATAAAAACTTTACCCCACATCATTCTTGCATAATAATTTTACTTTGACATTTATTAAAACTTCATTTGTCGTTGCCAAAACACTACTATATCTTAATTATCTGTCCTTTATTGACTAATGATGAAATGAAATGAAATGAATGAAATGAAAAATGTTTATTCGGCATAAGACATGCACGCCAGAAAAGACATATGAATATAAAAAAAGCATAAAAACAGAAAAATTAAAAGATAAAAGTTAAATTATAAAACTAAAACAAGCCAATAGGCCATTCAAGTGCGCGGTGTTGGCGGACATGTCCAATCCGAACGGGTCACCAACTCAGCATAAAGCTGGGCACAATGAGCACCCAACACTGATTTTCAGTTGGCACCCCTGCAGTGACGCACGGACGAGAGCAACACATACTTGTAATCCACATATGTATAGAAACTTTGTTATTAATTTTGACTACCTTACACAATTTCAATATTCTCAATTCTTTAAGATTTATTCATCTTTCCACTTCAAATAAACATACCCATCTAATTAATTTTGTGTCCTACAGTCACTACGCAGGCGACGTGACGTACGCTATAACGGGCTTCATGGACAAGAACAAGGACTCTCTGTGGCAGGACCTCAAGCGTCTCCTGCACTCCTCGCAGAACGCGTCGCTCGCAGACATGTGGCCCGAGGGAGGCACTCATATACAGAAGGTGGGGGTGATAAATAAACTTGTCTTTATAAATATAGTAGCCTACTTAACTAAAAATCACCTGAATATACTGACAAAAAAGTTCTACTAGTTTCGAACCACAGAGGCTCTGCGACATCGCTGCGACCGCGCACGCTGCTCATGAAGAAGAACCGAGGGGTTCTTCTTCATGAGGTTGGGAAAATTAAAATGTCGTTATGTTAAGTAAAATCGCGGGTTACTCACGTGAGTATTCTGAGAAAAGCTCTACTAGTTTCGTGTGTGAGCTGCGCGACGTCGCCGCGACCGCGCACGCTGCTCATGAGGAAGAACCGCTCTGTGGTTCGAAACTAGTAGAGCTTTTCTCAGTATATTCACGTGAGTAACCCGCGATTTTTAGTTAATTTTGTATGGCTCACGATTGTTATTTTTAAAACATAGTAGCTTACTAATACTTTGCAATGGAAATGTGCATCTAAAAGCAAAAGAAAATGCATCTTCTAGTCAGTCAGTAAGTATTGTTTGTCCAATAGATAACAATTAACTAGTATCAAACCATTGGTCATTCAATTTTTGACAACTATAGTGTGATTGATTGACTTCATATTACCGCCATCTATTGACCGAAAACATGAAACATGGTAGCCTTCATTCTGTATGCGAAGTATTTTACACCTTGTGTCCAATGTTTTAGGACCATTCTATTTTGCGCAATCTTTTTAAAAAGATTGTCTCATCATCTTTATGCTCTAAGCAATAAGATCTAATTTAACTTCTACCTCTCCGCAGACGTCAAAGCGTCCTCCTTCAGCGGCGACATTGTTCCGCAACTCTATGTCTGCGCTAGTGACCGGCCTACAGAGCAAGGAACCGTTCTACGTGCGGTGTGTCAAACCCAACCCGTACCAGGCTCCTACCAACTGGGATGATCAACTGGTATGTACTCTATTTTGTATGGAATAAGGTTGAAACAGCAATGAAAACTAAAATTATTTCATGTTATTTTAAACTCTATGATGGTAAATATAAGGTTTAAAATGTGTTCATGTTTGTTATAAATGAAACAATCCTTTTGAAAATAGTTACGTCGATGATCGCAAGCGCGATTATTAATTAGTCTTTTAGATTTTAACTACTTAAACTGTCAAACCTCAAGCGGTCACCGGTGACCGCAACCTATAGGCATGGCGACTATTTTTTAATTTTTTGTCCGTCTTTTAGATATTTTAAAAATCTTCGATACGTATTTTTTCTTTTTTCTCGTATCCAAAAAAACATATAGATATTTTGAGTTAAAATGACGCGTGACGTCACAATTAGGTACGATTTCTCCGTAAGTGTGACGTCAACACCCCCCACTCCCTAACTTTAATGCGGAATAACTACGTACTCTTCTGTTAATTTGATAAAACAAAAAATACGTGTCTGATATTTTCGTGCGATCTTAATGACGTACTAATTACTTTTTTGATTTTTTTACCCTGTCGACACGCCTATTGTGTCTATAATGACGGTACTCGACGAGTTAATTACCCAACTAAAATGATATTATGATCAGAAATAATTAGTGTTATTGTTAGTCGATTTATCTTGGGCTTTTATAATTATAAATATTCCATTTCTTTTCCTCAAACAGCGCGCGTTGGCCAAGTGGTCGCAAGTGCGACTGCCAGGCAAGGGGTCTCGGGTTCAATTCCCGGGTCGGGCTAAGAGCTACTGAGTTTAAAAAAATCAGTAGTAGCACGGAATTTGGAATTGTGCCCGGTATATGGCAATAGGCTCACCCCCTATTACATGGGACTCATAACATAAGTAGTGAAAAGTGGTACTTTGTACAGTGGCATTAAGTGCCGTAATCTGCACCTCTGCTTAACCCTTGGATAAAAGGCGTGATGTTATATTATGTGTTTTCCTAAAATATACGTGATTCTTATTCTATTTCAAACTTTCACCGCTCAGGTTCGTCACCAAGTAGCGTATCTAGGCTTGGTAGAGAACGTACGCGTCCGACGTGCTGGGTTCGCGTCCCGACAGAGGTACGACCGGTTCCTGAAGCGATACAAGATGCTATCTCAGTACACATGGCCCAATTTCCGCGGGAACTCGGACAAGGACGCTGTCATGGTGCTACTGAGGGATCTACATGTTACTGACGTACAGTTTGGACATACTAAACTGTTCATTAGGTACGTATATGTGCTATTTTGATAGATGATAATATAGGTAAAAGATAATTTATGAATCCACTGAATCGAGACAAGAAATGTTGTATAAAAGTGGTCTTAACTGTTACCTAATTTACCTTATTCTAAGGGCCTTATTTACAATGTTTAATTACGCCGTCGTACGCTGATACATATTTCGGCACAATTTCTATCTAAAATACGTCGAATTCGTTGACATCTAAGAAATAGAACAGATTTATATGCACAGATTTATAATGCATTTCTCTCTGTTTTTATAACAACTATCGTGACATACTAAATTAACTAAAATCGCGGGTAAGTCACGTGAATATACTGTGAAAAGTTCTAGTAGTTTAGAACCCCTCTGTGGTTCGAAACTAGTAGAGCTTTTCTCAGCATTGCTCTCTATCTGTTATTGTCTGATATGCAAAAAAATGGACTCGAGGAGTGTACTTCTTAACTACAATTTCAAATCAGTCATCAGACGGGATCTTTCCAACTTAACATTGATATTCAATGTGCCTCTGACCAGTTGGTGATCGCTACCGGTTTTTACCTTATGGATCACAGAGACATCATTGAATATCTGTCATCATTGAATATAATCAGTCATACAGCTTTAGTCAATCTCGTAACTATCCTTATTTTGTTGTTGTGTTGGAAAGGTACAATTTTAAAGTTTAAACTAAACGTTAATATTAAATAATGATAGGTAAGTAATCTCATGTTTATTAATTGTTTGTGTCATATACAGGAGCGCAAAAACCCTGCATGGTTTGGAAGCAGCTCGCGCGGAGTTGATCCCGTCCATCGTCATACTGCTGCAGAAACTGTGGCGAGGGACTCTAGCCAGGATGCGGTACAAGAAGATGAAGGCTGCCTATACTATATACAATGCTTGGAAGTAAGTGGTACATTTTTTCAAACTTAGATATCAACATATATCCTATGTTACTTTCGTTATATCGAGTTTTAAGAAAGTATTGAGTTTAACTATCAACAGAATCTTTATTGCTAAGACGTAACTGAACTGATGTGATAATGCATCTTATTATTGTATTGTGTTGTGTTACCTTTTAATCTTCCCTTACATTACTTTCCGGTTAAACTAGACAAATGTCGTGAAACTCTGTAATTGGTTTGAGTGATAATTGTCATCATCTCGTTATCACTGTGTAGCGTGTGTCAAAGTCAAAGTCAAAGCATTTATTTCAATTAAACCATAATTTGGTACTTTTGAAACGTCAACAAATACAAAATGAATAATAATAGTCTGTCAGTCAGTCCGTCAGTTAAGCTAGGTGAAGGTAGGTGCTCATTCCAAAATGTAGATTCCAATGGAGAAGAACGAGCAAGAAACTCCATTCGTTACTCTTTTAAACTGTCAAATACCAAGCGGTCACCGGTGACCGCAACCTATTGTTCTATAATTGTGTCTACAAAACCGGTACTCGACGAGTTAAAAAAAGTATGTTCTACAATGTCTCTGATACATATTCCAATACTGTACGCATATGTGAGAACAATGCAAAGACACGCTTGACGCATTATAGGTATCGCTCTTTGTTTCGCTCTTTGTTTCAATAAAGAAAGAAATGCTCGATGCCATAAGGAAACTAGATTGTCTACATTAGAATGAAAATATTAAATTACCTACTATTGAAATTTAACTACTGACTACATTTGAGTATTGTCCAGTGGAGCCGCACCAACATGCTGCCAAGCATTCTTATCTTCAAGATAATCTGTCAGTGTGTAGTAAGCTTGATTACATAATTCGCGCTTAATATATGTTTTAAATTTACTTTCATTGAGGTCTAATAAGCTATTTGGTATTTTATTATAGCATTTAATACCTAAACCCATAGAGAATTTCTGTACCTTGGACAGTCTGAATTGCGGTATAGCTAACTTATTTTTGCCTCTGGTATTAAAATTGTGTCTATCGCTTCTTTTTTCAAACGATTATCTATTTTTCCTTTTATATATTATATTTTCATATATATATATCGACAGGGCACCGTTAAAATATTTATCGTTTTAAACAATTCTCTCAGCGATTTGCAACGGCGTAAGTTATATATTGCTCGGATAGCCCGCTTTTGTAGAATGAATATTGATTCTATTTCTACAGCTCGACCCCACAACAAAATGCCGTACGGCATAATGCTGTGGAAATAAATAAAATAGACAAGCCTTGCTGTATCTACGTCCGTGAGCTGTCTAATCTGTCTAACTGCAAAAGCGGCTGAGCTCAATCTCCCCGAGAGCGCCTTTATATGCGGACCCCATTGTAGCCTATTGTCTAACGTAATGCCTAAAAATACCGTCTAGTCAACAAATTCTAACTTTTGACCGTTCAAATCAATATCACAATCGTTACTACGCACGTTTGGTAAACTGAATTTAATACATTTGGTTTTATTCTCATTCAGTGCTAGATTGTTAATGGTGAACCAATTATGCACTCGAAGAATGTAGCTGTTTACGTCGTCAAGATTAATTGTACGTCGATCTATCTTAAAAATTAGTGATGTATCATCCACAAAAAGCACCATTCTTGGTTCATTTTGAAATATAAATGGCAAATCATTTATATAGACTAAAAAGAGAAAGGGACCCAATATTGAACCTTGAGGAACGCCCATATTCATCCCAGAGCCCTGCTAGTTAATACCGTTAACATGAACCTTTAACTGTCTTTCTTCTAAATAAGATTTCATAAGATGGAGCGCAGAGTTTCTTACCCCGTAGTGCTCTAATTTCAGCAAAAGTGACTCGTGGTCAACGCAATCAAATGCTTTTGAGAGGTCACAAAAGACACCAATAGCATCCTGTGCTTCTTCCCAAGCGCGAAATATTTCCTTAATCAAAGTGACACCGGCGTCCGTTGTGCAACGACATTTAGTGAAACCGTATTGTTGTTGGTGAAAGATAGAATGTTTACTAAAATGACGAAGCATCCGAGATAGCATCAACAAAGGTCAGACTGGTAAAAAATGCCTGCGGCATTAAGTCCACCTATTTATACATTTTGTGCATGAAGCATATTAAATAAAATAAAATAAATAAACTTTTCAAAGACTTTGCTGAGAACCGGCAAAACAGACACTGGCCTATAGTTGTAAGTTCTTTAGTGTCACCACTTTAAAATAGTGGGATAACTTTACTATATTTCATAAGGTCAGGGAAAACACCGTCATCTATACATTTATTGAAAATTACAGACATATCAGACATATGGCGCTACAGTTTGGATAAGTGACTTGCAAACTATTACCGATAAGCCCCAAAGATCCTCCGTTGATTTGGTCTTGATTTCTTTAAAAACTTTTATATTTCTAGAGGATTCGTATATCGAAAACTAAAGTCGTATTGACATGATTCTATGTTGTTCTTAAGCAAAGTTACAGAGAGGTTTGCTGATGACTTTAAATGTTCAGTTGTTTTAATAGGAATATTAGTAAAAAAATTCAAACTCCTGGGCTACATCTACGTTTGATGAAATCTGTCCCCTTTCGGTATTTAAATTAAATTCTGAGTTTCTTAATCTTTTCCTACCAGTCTCGTTGTGTATAACTTTCCAAGTCGTTTCTATATTATCGTCAAATGATTTTGATGGGCCATGTCCATGCGAGCTGGGCTCGCTGTCATTGCAGCGGTAAGTCCTCTCTTTGAGGAGTGGCTTGAGAGACGCTACGGCGTCCTCACCTACCGCCTGACGTAGGTGCTTACCGGACACGGTAGTTTCGGTAGGTTCCTGTTTCGGATTGGGCGCCCGGGTGTCATCACTCACAATGATGACACCCCTTGAGGCGCGTCGCGTTCCGCGCACGCCTCAAGTACCTATCAGACTACCACAGATGGGGCCTAACAGGGCTGATGCCGATACGGAGCCGCGGAAGACTTAAGGGGTTGCCGGGGCTCCGGCTCGAAGTGCAGGAGTAGGAACGGGGTGGTTTTTAGTCAGTAAGAGTCTGACACTCTCTCCCGCCTCACCCGGGCGGGAGAAGTCATTGGATGATTTTCCCCCCTAAAAAAGAAGGGGTGCCCTATACACACAGACAACAACATGTCTATCCAGCTCAACACAGGACAACTCAATGGTGTGATCAACTGACAGTGCTACAATATCTTTCCTTCCTTTCCTCCTTTTTTTTCTGTCGAAACTACATAAGGCTGTGCATTGATAGTGTAATGTGTATTCCTAACTCATGTAACACAATAAGCTATTGAGTTTCCAAATAAACAAAAAAAAATGCATTACCACCGCCAGCCTTCTAACAAAATCCTTCCTCACAGACGCTACCGCCTCCGCTGCTACATCGCGGCGTTGCAGCAGGAACTGCAGCGCAACCGCAACGTGATCCGGTCGTGGCCGCCCCCCCCGCGGCGCCTGCCGGCCGCGCTGCTGCAGGCCGCCTACCGGCGCTGGCGGGCCTACCTCACGCTCAAACCGGTGCCGCGCGACCAGTGGCCGCAACTCAAGATGAAGATTTGTGCCGCTTCAGCTCTAAAAGGTCGTCGCGCCCAGTGGGGACAAAATAGACAGTGGTTGGGAGACTACCTTGCTGATAATAAGTACAATCCTAAGGCTGGTAAGTTATGTAGAAAATGTTATAAAGTTATGTTGAACTATTATTTTAAAATACCTCAAACATATAATATTTACCTTCTAATGCGCATCTCCATATGAACTTGCGCAAAGTAATTGCGGTAAAACTGTTAAGAAATATTTTTTTGATTATCTTACGAATCTTGCTCTAATCTCAAAGAAATATCAAAAAAAAAAAATTACAACGCTTAATAAAAATTCTCAACGTAACATATAGGTGAAAAGCTCAGCTATATTAACCCTAAAACACTATCAATAATAAAAATATCTATCTTATCTTCTTCCAGCGACATACCAGTCCCAGCTATCATCCCTCCAAAGGTCCCAGCAGGTGGGTCGCGCCATGTTCTCGTGCCGAGTTCACAAGTTCAACAGATACAACAAACTGGCCGAGCGATGTCTGCTCGTCACTGACTCGCATATCTTCAAACTAGATGCCAACACATTCAAACCGTTGAAAAAACCTACTGCTATAACTGAGGTATGCTAATTAAAACTTTATTATGATAGAAAATAATGTATTCTTAGCAATGGTCTAGTTTTCCTTTTAAATCACGATGTAGGAAATTTTGTGACCACTATTTTTAGTCCGATTCTGTGTTTAAAGTTTTTTGATGTGATCAAAGTATCAAAAAATAAAAATAAGTCTGTACATCGAGAAAATAAGATGTTTAAATCTCCTCTTATTTCTCCAGGTTGGAGCTATCCGTATAATGAGCACAGATGTCCAGCTAGTAGTGATTAGCATTCCATCTGCCAAGAACGACCTCGTCGTGGGGCTAGTGGCCCCAGTGGTCAACCAAACTGGAGCGCCCGGGGACTTGGTCGGAGAACTACTGGGTGTCATGGCTAATAGATATAACATGTAAGTATTTGCTTTGATGGGATAGTGAGGTAAATGTGTAGACAGATGCCCTGATCTTAACCAATCAGCAACGTCCATTAATACTCGCACCACAAGAGCTGTTACAAGTATGTTGCTGGTGTTTTTAGTATTGGGCATTTGGGATTGGGTATTGCTGGTTCTTGTAGCTAATCTGTTCCCAACTTTATATAAGATTAATTACCACTATTGATTTGAAGATGGATTACTAATATAAATATTCCTGTTTAGGTTGACGGGACAAGAACTAGTGGTGGAGGTAGAGAGCGGCGCGACGACGCGGTGTACGCTGGGCGGCAAGACGCGCGCCGTGCAGCTGCCCGCGCCGGCCGCGGCGGTGGCGGCGCCGGCCGCGCAGCCCTTCACGCACGCGCACAACGTCATCACCTACCACCCCGCCTCCGCGCGCGCCTAGCACTCGCCCGCCGGCGGGGACTCCAGCGACGAACACGACTGAACTAGGTATTCCTTCACTTGAATTATTGCGCAAGTTGCGTTAGTAATGCGCATCTCTGTTTGATCTTGCGCTAAATAATTTCAATAAAAATTGTGGTCTAAGAAATGTTACCATACACTTTGGTGTTTAAAAGGAATGGATCCTAGAAATCGTGTCGTGGGTAAAGTGCTCTAGCCAAAACTTTAATGAAAATTTATATTTAACAAATATAAAAAGTGAGTTTATGAGAGTGCTTTTTAACTGGAGTCATATAACACTGTTATGTAACCACAGAATGTATAAAACAAAGTTGTATTTGATGTGCAACATGGTTATTGTAATTCAATTTGTTGCGCAACATTTCTAGATTCAGACATCCATGTAATTCTTTTATTCAGCTTTGCGCAATGGAAGTCAAGAAGAAATATTGCCAGTACTGGTTGTTTAATCCTGGTTGCGCAAACAGTTGGTTTGTTGCGCAATAGATTAAACTTAACAAGCAAGTTTTTGTTTTTATAATAACTATCATGAAACAAACTAAATTAACTAAAACCGCGGGTTACTACGGCTACGCGGCGACGTTAGTGAGCTGTACGACGTCGCCGCGTCCTCATGAGGAAGAACCGCTCTGTGGTTCGAAACTAGTAGAGATTTTCTCAGTATATTCACGTGAGTAACCCGCGATTTTAGTTAATTGAGCAAGTTTTTGTTATTCTATTTACGTAAAGTTTATAGAAAAAATGTTGTTTATTATGGTACCTAGTGACTTATTAGAGGTTAGAGTGAGAAAGGCATATTTGTAGTTATTATACTATTTAATAGTCAAATAGCTTTTAAATTAATGTTTGTTATATCAGCAGTATACAATACATAATTATTATCACATTTTATTATGTTTAAAGTTGAAAGTAATGAAAAGAATCCTTGTTAATAGTGCTATGGAGTTTCAAGTGATTTCTAAGTGAGGAATTTTATACGGATTTTACAACATACATGCCTTCATAAAGCTAATTGTGGGTGCCTAGTCCTTTAGGAATATAAAAAAATGTTTACAAGTACTATTTCAATTGAACCAGTTTTATATAGAGGCCTTATATTTAAAGTTAAGGATGCATGTCTACTAAAGTCGAACCAATGATTATTAGATGTTTAGCCATGAAAATTGCTTTTGTGCATTTTGATTAGCAATCCGCCATGATGAAATATTTATAAGGGCCTTATCCCCGTATACTGAAACGTTACTCAATTTTTAGTCGCGCTTAGTTCTGTCTCTACAAATTCTTTGTAAAATGACAGAGACAGCATGATATTTAAGCACGTCTTAAAATTGAGTAACGTTTCAGTATTCCAGCATTAGACATAAAAAAATACTTAAAATATATTCGACTGATGAACGGCATTTGTATAGAAAAATAAAATAATGGCCTTATGTATTCTAGTAATAAGTTTAAGTACCTTATTAACTTATTCGAGAAATTACGATAGTTTTATTTTAGTATAGAGATAATAATAGAGTAAGTTGTTATATTTTTTTTTCGTTTTTTGTATAATAATGGCGACAGTGTAAACTTATGATTTATTTTTAAACAGATTCCTTAAAAAGAGGTTCTTATGTCGTCACCTGAAACGATTTGGATAATTCTTATTGTGGTATAATAATACCAGAAACAAAAAGATGTATTTTTTTTTTTCAAAATAATTTATTACAATGGGTTAGTTTATACTGTTGTCCATATTTTAATGAAGTGTATAAATATTATGTTAGTGTTATCTTAAGTTATTGCGACCAGTTTACGTGAATTTAACTACTTTTTGTACTTGTATTTAAAATCTGATTTGCTGGCCGAGTGGTCGCAAGTGCGACTGCCGGGCAAGGGGTCTCCGGTTTGATTCCCGGGTCGGGCGAAGTATTACTGTTTTTTTTTTAATTCTCAGTAGTAGCACGGAGTCTGGAATTGTGCCCGGTATATGGCAATATACCTCCTTTTACATGGGAGTCATAACATAAACAGTAAATAATGTGCACCTTTGCACTACCCCTTCGGGGATAAAAAGGCGTGATGTAGTGTTATTTAAAAAAATCTTGAGTTTGAAAGTAGTTTAATTCACGTTTGAAATAAATATGTGCCTTAAATATTATGTTAATTATTATTTTTTGATGATTTTTTTTCAATAAACAGACATCACATTACAGTATACACGATGATTGTAAATAAATTTAATAATGATACATTATTATTATTATTATTGTTAAAAAGCACTTTTACATAATTATGAAATAGTGAAAATGTACAGTCGTTAAATAAATTGAAGGTTTTGATGTGGTACTAAAGTAATTTAGTTGCTTATAGTTTAGAACACCCTCTGTACAGGAGTGATGTAAAAAATGTTGTTTAATAAGTTATAAAACAAAGCGCACAAACATACATATACACATACATAGTTAATTCTACATAGAGTTTTGTGGTATGAGATATGTATTAAAGTTAAAAGCACCTTGAGACTTGTAAATTGCATATAAAAAGTTAGTGTCGACATTTCATTTAAATATATTTCGTACTTAGTGCGTATATGGTCTAATTTTCCATAGCTCTTATTTGGTTGCTCTGAGCAAGTTGGCTGGTCATGTTATATTTTAATATAAAACTGTTTTCTTTGATTTTTTCTTAATTACTTGTTCGGTATTGGGCAGGCGTGGTATGTGGCCAAGACATTCTTAATACGCGTTCGTATAACGCGTAGTTACAGAGTGTATACAATTTGCAGTTTAATTTCTTTTTTTTAATATGCTTTTTGTAGATGACTGTGGTAAATTTCGATTCTGTTAAAAACATAATTCTTGAATGCAATGTGTCATAGTCGTCTGCAAGATGTTAGAACAATGTGATGAATATAACGCACAGCGATGTATATTTTATTTATTTATTTAGTTCAGTATTACCTTTTAGCGTTAAATTTTATGAAGGTTATAAAGGTTATTGTTGACAGAACTTTATCGACAAATTAAATACATTGTTACAAAGTTGAAAAAGAAATATTGTAGATCATTAAAAAAGACATGCAATCATGTCTAGTACTCAGAATTCTATTTTCTGTAAATACTTAATGGTGCATTATTAGTAAAATTATCGATAAGCCATCAAGTAATAACTGCACTAGGCATAGGGCACCATTATTAATAATTGTAATGTTCGATAAACCATAAGATATCAAATTATCGATATTGGAAATATTATGTCAAAACATAGCAGTTATTGAACAACTAAATTATTTTATGAAGTTCTGTGAAAAATAACTTGAACAACGGCCTTAGAACGTTAACAGCGAGTTATTCTAGTTATATGTATATAGATGTTATTATTTGTAACGAGTGATCGTACGTGCCTTGTTGTGGTGCCATGAGATTCGCAATGTGTTGAATAAAATAATTTTACACTTTAATTTGCAGTTTTTATTTAATATTTTCCTTTTTTGTCCTATTAATGAATAATTAACCATCCTTTCCTTGAAGCAAACACATAACAGTATATTAAATGAACTAAAAATCGCGGGTTACTCACGTGAATATACTGAGAGAAGCTCTACTAGTTTCGAGCCACAGAGGGGACTCTTCCTCATGACCAGCGTGCGCTATTGCGATGTCGCGTAGCCTACTCAGCCTTTTTTTAAATGCGGTAATTTAGCACGTCTCTCGATAGTTATTATAAAAATATTATAATATACTCTTTCTACTAATTTCATGCTATTACAAAAACCATTGACTGCCTCGTTGGCCGAGTGACCGCAAGTGCGATTGCCGAGCAAGGGGTCTCGGGTTCGATTCCCGGGTCGGATAAAGTACCTACTACTGGGTTTTTAAAAAAAATCTCAGTAGTAGCACAGAGTTTGTAATTGTGCCCGATAAATGGCAATAGGCTCACCCCCTATTACATAGGACTCATAACATAAATACCTAGTGAAAAGTGGATGCTACATTGTACAGTGGCATTAAGTGCCGTAATGTCACGTCTGCTAACCCTTCGGGGATTAAAGGCGTGATGTTATAAAAAAACCAATAAAATATATAACTCACTCAAATTATCCTTGAAAACTGGTCAACTGCTTAATCTTTCAGATAAAAGCAAGCGTGATGATTTTTAAGTGATGTCTATGAACGCATCATAATTAATTAATTATATACACTGTATTCTCTGAACGCGTCCCTAAATGATGCAATCTTTTACGTTTTGACATAAGACCTGAGTGCTAGTGATGTACTTTACTTGTATATCTGGCTGTCGATAGTAAGTAGATCAATAATAGGAAAGGCATGAAACCACTTGTACGTATATATGTGGAGTAACAGAATTGAATACATGTTTTGGTGTCTTGGAAAAATGAACTTAGTTATTTATATATTTAATTATTCATTTATTTTCAGCCATGATCGTCCCACTGCAGGGCAAAGGCCTCCCTACCCTCCTATTATATACTTGTAAAAAAGTTTTTTTACAACAAAATCCGGTTTGATGTAAAAAAAGTAAATGAATTATAGTTATTATTATAATTACAAATGGCAGTAAAAAATGAAATGTATAGAAACGAGTTAAGGTAGCATTATCTACAGCAAATCCTCCTCAAATTCAATTTACTAATATTACTCCTAATGAAGGAATTGCTGATAATAAATTTGTAATTACAGTTGCTCCTCAGAAAGATATTTGCCCTCAAGGTAAAACATATCCAAGTCAAAATCAAATCTATAACTGTAGATAGTAGGAGTAATTAAATAAAACGGAGTAGTAATTATTGTGTTAATGATAATTACTACTCCCAAGCTGTTTCACATTTGACTTGGTTCCTATTGGTCGTGGCTTAGTGGAAAAAGAGATTTAATATTGGAATAATCCAGTTAAGAACGTTCTTTAAACATATTTCCTTCCTCATACTATAATTCCCTGAGTCCAGCTTGAAATGTTTAATAGCTAATAAAAAGCTCGGCTTTTAGATTCTTCAGACTGATGACTATTGCTGAAACGAAAGAAGTATGTAATGTAGCAATTGGCGTTCCATAGTCTCTGCCTACCCCAGGCGTGACGTTATGTATTTATGTAGCTTCTTCAGAGACACAGTTTTATCGATAAACGAAAACACCATCAATGCATCCCTATCGAGCGCGTGTTCATTAACAGCTGTCAAACTCGAATATGTCACTGTCAGTTTCACGTTTCACTTGTGCGTTCTGAGAATCATATTCAAAATTGAAAATACATTTACGTATTAATTTCAATGGATATCGTTTTCAACAGTTAGATAACCCAAGTCGACATAAAGTTTTATATATTTCCATGCTTTGTTACTGAGTAAATACACGTAGGTTAGGATTTTATGTTGGTTTCCTAAAATGTCTTTTCCTGGTGATAATTTGATGGGAGGCTATGAACCGGTGCGTGGTCGTGATGACCAGAACAGCTACACAGTGCGGCAGGCGTATGAAGATGGTAAGCTAAGACTATTTACTTATATATAAAATTCTATTATTATTCTATTAGACCGAAGAACCTTATGGTCATAACTTTGTTAGTTCAGTTGGTTAAATTCTACTGAATTTGTGACGTGGCTTAGAAAATCAAAGAGAAATTTATTACCTGTCATAGTCCAGCTGAAAACGGATTTAAATATAATCTGAATACTGTTCTAGTCAAAGTAGTTCATTGATCAATATTAGAAAAAAACTAGGGCATATGTTTTTGATGGAGATTACAAGTTATCGCGGTTATATTTTTGTCCTTATTTTATACTGAATATAAAATGTAGACATCAGTAATTTTCTACTGAAAAAATATTGTTTTATACTACCTACTAATTACTGATACAATAGTAATTCATATTTAATTTATATTTATTTAATATAATTCTAATTAGGAAAGTTTATCCCATAACATTTAAAATTATAAATCATAAGCTGTCTGTAAAATGTATCATAAGTATTAAAAGTTGTAATGTTTATGAATTGACTCTTGCAAAGGTATTCTTTGCAAAGAAATATGAGTCTTCAGAAGTCCTTTTTTGGTCTGCTACATGCTTATTAAAACATTCCTTGGTATCACTTAACACTATACTGGCATAATACCTAAGTGTTGATGTAATCAGTGTACTAGGTATAATATGAACGAATTATCTGTGTATCTGAGAACGAAACATGAGAATGTAAAAAACTAGGTACACAAATTACACAAAAAATACTAAAGCTTGTGTACTCAATGTGCAGTCCTTGTTTCTCTAATTAATTTAAATTTTTTGGTTTTATACTAAAATTTTATATCTATGCTTCAGAAAAAAAATTACAATTCTGTGTCTGTGTCCTATCATGTTGGTTAACTCGATAGTATATACTATCTTGGATCTTAGATATACATATGTATATCTAAGATCTCTGAGGCAGTTATGTTTGAAATATTACTGAATAGGTATAAAAAGTAATTTTAATTTTACTGCATATAAAAAGTTTATGTTCATTCAAGTGTGAAAATGCAAATAAATGATAAAGAATGTCTACTTTCACTCTGATCTGGTTGAAGAAGGAAAGTTTTTTAGTATAACTATTTTTTGGGACACAAAACAGTCTAAAAAGGTATAATGCCACCATGGCATCATTCTTTTTATAATCGGATTTTTATATTCGAGTTATCAATTATAACATAAATCAAGAGATATCTGACAATCTTTGATAACAATGTCTAGACAATTTAGTCTTAAATAATCAATTTATAATATTTTTAGTTACAATATCGCTATTCCCACCTGTAACGTAAAACCATTATTAAATGAAAATTTTCATGACTTGAGTTAATGCCATTTATCTAAAATATTTTATGGTGCAATATGTTATGCATGAATATGTCGATGGGTAAATTAGTATGTATATAAGGATCAGTGCTCTTCATTATTTCTATGTAAGCCTATGGTACAATGTTTTATGTATTTTTTAATATATTTACTAATGAATGTTACAGGTTGTGCCAATATATTATACTGTAAGCAAAACATTGTAGGTATAAGATGAGCTGGTTTAAACTGTCAAACACCAAGCGGTCACCGGTGACCGCAACCTATTGTTCTATAATGGTGTCTATAATGATGGTACTCGATGAGTTAAAGATACACTCGATTTTTACAATATTTATTAAGGGTGTTTTTAATATCGTGCGGATATCATCACGCGTGCGGGATTGCCCCGCATGCGTAAGCCCCGCAAATGTCCTTTTCATAAAAGTATTTATTATAATGCCCTATAATGCCCGCGTCCCGCGTCCGTATTCCACGCATTATAATAAATACTTTTATGAAAAGGACATTTGCGGGGCTTACGCATGCGGGGCAATCCCGCACGCGTGATGATATCCGCACGATATTAAAAACACCCTAAAGTAACTATTTAATTTTGCCGTAGCATAATATGTATATAATACCAATACAAGAAATCGACATATAAATGCCATTTTGTTCGCAACACAAAAATAGTAAGTCAGATCAATACACCCTGTGTTAAAGTCTGGTCGAAGGTCAACTAAGCAATATTGAATAAGGCAGGCATTCTGTACCAATTGGTGTGTGGTGTGGCGTGCTGATATCTTAATGTCTGGCTGATCAATTGAAATGTACTGCCATATTTATTGCCATATTGGCCGGTCACTCCTGTTATACAAGAGTCTCGTTCATTTGCCCCGCTGTAGTCGTCATGTGGGTGTTCGTGCTGTTGCTTTGTAAGTTACTCTGTATTTTTTTAATTGCGATGTGAAATATTATTACGTGTGTATGGTCCATTCTTTATTTCTACCTCTATAGGATATAAAAGTTGTGATCTTGCCAATTAGTTTTATTCGGAAAGTTACCTATTTTAATGTTTTTCATTGAGGAAGTTCAGTTTAGGAAATTGATATGATGATTAGTGTTTTGTGAGGAAGGAAAACAGTGAAGGTAGAAATAACATTTGGTTTATAGTTTGGTTATACAAGTATTCTTGATATTGTATTGTTACTCGAGTAGCCAGTGTTTCTGATTTGTTTAGTTACATAACATAACTACTGGTTCTTTCGTTTACTATCTACATAGCGTTATTTATAATATCGGGCGCTGTACACATAGTAGCTGCTCTGCTGACAGAGGTATAAAAAACAACCACTTCACTATCACGTGACATCAGTAATGACGCAAAGTAAGAATACTTTAATTGCGTCAATAATAAAATAAAATTAAAAATGTTGTTGCATAAATAAATATGTGTAACAGACGTTTTCAGTAATGTTCTACTTCAGCAATTGTAACCGGTACTGTCAATGCCAGTCGGGTTAACAGTTCGACCTTGTGTAGTTTTCCTGTAATTCTGCGGGAATTTTCGTTAAGGAAGTAATATTTTTATGCTAATAGTATTGATTTACTGACTGACGATAGCAAAAATCGAATTAAAATACATAACATTAGCATTAGCCAAGAGAAACGCAATGTATTTTCTATTGTGTCTACAATGAAGAGATTAATAAGGCATTCTTCAAATTCTAATAAAGATAAACAAAGAAGAATGTTGAACCGTAGATCCCAAAATTCCTTTTACCAAACCTTAATACTCCTATTATAATTTTCATTTTATTACTATTTGTAAACAGCTTTGTATGCGATTGTACCCATCACATTGACACTGCATTTTGTTGAGAACTTCCGCCAGAGTCAGCATTTCGGTTGCCTAGGTTGTCATCAAGGCCTTTTCTATACAAATCTAGTTTATAGACTAGATAAATGACTAATGCACATAGGTCATACATGATTTCATTGTAGTAATGTTTGATCATGTGGAAAAATTACGCACTCTTGATGAATAGTTGAATTGAAATAGTACTTTAAACTGAAAATGCCTTGAATTTTAGCCCATTTTCGGTTGTAATTCTTTGAAGTATGACCCCGTTGCGTGTGTCCTAATTGGTTGTTACAATTGTTAGTTTCTGTTACCACTTGTGCTGTCGAAGTGCTAAATTAATGGCGTCTTCAATCGCCAGGGTCCCCTTATTGGTGATCGGTACGTATTCGTTTATTGTATTGATGAATTTGTTGGCCCGTCATTGAACATTTTTTTAGTATAATTTTTGCATAGGTACTTATTCAAGAATCTTGAAATTACTCGTCATATGAAGTCAGTAAAAATTCGACAAGTCTTTGATTACGAATCTATTTAAGTATTAAGCTAACTAATTGGTTGCTTGTTGTACGATTTCAGTAATCCTTATTTCTTTGGATGCGTTGCAGAATCGACTGCCAACAATCATTATCAAGATATTCCGGTTTTTAAAAATACTCGATAGTAGTAGGTATTTAAGTAGTGTAGACTATGGAATGGTGTCCATTGTAACTTGTGAACTTATGCATTTCATGAAACTCATAGCCAGAAACTGGCGAAAATGTCAAAATGTGGGTGTTATAATAATATTTAAGTGTGTTACTTTACTATCATTTTTGTTTCCAGGCGGTCTCAAGGCTGGAGCTAGTCGCGTGGCCCGGCTTGCATATGGCGTCCTCTCCCGGCGTAAAGCCGCGGAGGAGGGCGCGGCTCGACTGGCCCGAGTGCTCTCAGCCCTAGATCTAACTGCTCTCGGGGTCGGCAGCACCCTCGGAGTGGGTGTCTACGTCCTTGCTGGTGATGTTGCCAAGAACTATGCTGGTCCTGCCGTGATACTGTCGTTCCTATTGGCTGCTGTTGCCAGTGTTTTTGCAGGTTAGTTTATTTAAGTGGATGTATTGTTAAACATACCGTAACTAGCTAGCTAGTCAAGTAGAGCGTTATCCGTACAGTAGGTGGAAGTGGTTGGATTCGGAAAACTGTGTTTCAAAAGTACCAAATTATGGTTTAATTGAAATAAATGCTTTGACTTTGACTTTGTGCGGGGTCTAAAGACAGCAACGGACTAATGGCGATCAGAACTTTTTACATGATACGTTGAAACATGTTTGTTTCAAAGTCTAAATCTGCGGTAATAAAGAACGTGTTACGTTAGCGAATTCCCGGGTACAGGTAGTTTGTTAATTAAAAGTACATAACTATCGCGAGTTTTATTGCTGGAAATGCTTGAAAACCATTACGTGTTACTAATGTTAAGTTGTAATGGTTTTTCTATCGATTTACTTGATTACTTATGGCCAGTTATGGCTGTGGTAGTCGGTGGTTACCGTCGTCGTCGTAGGGTATAGTCTAGCAGTTCCTATCATCTTTCAAGCATTGGTGTAGTGATTGTGTTTTAATTAAATCGAAGTACTTTAAACTCAATAAAAAATTGTTTAAACGTCACCATGGAAGTTGGTTTTTTATTTACATGTTATTTTTAATTGGGTTGCAGATCGTATAGTTTGAAAGGTTTGTGTTTATCAGAGAGCGCTTACGCCTCGCCTCTCTCAAAATATACTATTTTATTTTTCAAAATTGGACTTATTACAAGTAGAATCACTACACCTAGTTGGAAAATGATAGAGAATCTGAGACGCTGCAGACCTATGCGAAAAGACTGGGTACAGGATTGAGAAGCTAATAAGAGATATTCTACGTATAGTTTATGTCTATTTAGCATTTTAGTCTTATATTTCTAGTCCCAACTTCATCTGTTCTCTATCAATACATTTGTGAGACCTCCCATTCAGAAACGTAACGTTTTTTGCGGTTTGCGATTGGGTTCCTCTTCGTTTTCCTCGGCCCTACGTCTAACGTTTTTGGGGGCAAGCAGTACTCTAGGTACGGGAGTGTATATTTTGCCTGGTGAAGTGTCTAAGTACTATGCGGGACCTGCTGTTGTGATTTCCTTTCTCTTAGCTGGTATTGCTACTTCTTTTGCTGGTAAGTATTACTTGGTAATATAATAACGCTTGAATTTATAACTGATTTTAATCCATGCAATTAATGTCAAAAATCGATCTTAAGCCAAGGATATTAGGTTGAGTTTGGTTATTAAATTTAGCTGAAAGTACCAGTAATATAATTATTGTAATAGGTACCTATGTAGTGCTACTCAGTGTCTTATTATTTAATGGCATAAGCTGGTAAACGAGTAGACGGATCACCTGATGGTAAGCAATCGGCGTCGCCCATGGACACCTGGAACACTAGGGGCGTTACTAGTTCGTTACCAGCCTTTTGGGGATTAGGAGTTTAAGGATCGTTGGGGATTCAGGAATTGGGACCATTGGGTAAAGGGAGGGTAATTGGGCCTCTGGTAACCTCACTCATACGACGAAACACAACGCAAGCGTTGCTTCACGTATTCGTTGTGACATCTCTTTATATTAATTATTCTATATTTCTTATGATAAAGCGGCCAATTCAACAATGAGAATTAAGCACAGAGTATTTAATAATTAAGAAAATATAATATAGTGATTTTCTTTCCCCCCTTAAAAAAAAAAGCGTTGCTTCACGTCGGTTTTCTGTGAGGCCGTTTACGTGAAATATTAAAAACTATACAACTTATAAATATTACTAGCTTCTGCCTGCGGTTTCGCTCTCGACCTCGTCGAATAAAAAGTAGCCTATGTGTTATTCGAAACTGTAACCTACCCCTGTTCCGTATTTCATTCCGATCACTTCAGTCGTTTTGATGTGAATAAGTAACAAAAATATACACAAACTTACAAACTATCGCATAAAATAATATTAAGTAAGATTAGTTATCAGTGGGGTCTGAATACAATATGAAGCGCATATTTACATACGTTTTATCCAGTAGATATTAGAGATACCATAAAATTGCTACAATATTACTATCTACTAATATTTGTAGTTATATTGTCGTTACATACAAGGACACTCGTGGCGACCACGATACCATGGGATTTGTTACCGATATCTTATCGCAAACCCTTGACTTAACATGTCATTATGGTGATAAAAAAATTATCAGTTATTTACCTGTTATACTGTTATTTAGGTTGAAACTTTCTCTTGTGCAAATAATAATAAGGAAGTAACACATTTATAAGGCCATGTTATCACTTGTGTTGTGTTGACTTGTGTGTCTTATCATTAATCGAATTTTTATGATTTTCATTTTTTTTTTCCTTGCTCCACACTAGGATTTTCTCCTGTGTCGTGGGTGCATTTACAATCATACAAGTTCACATACACATGACACTCGGACCTGAAACAACAATTTGTGGATTACACAAAGAGTTGTTCCGTGCGGGAATCGAACTTGCGACACGTTGCACGGCAGCCAGTTGTCCAGCCACCAACTGTTCAGTTTTTGACTTTCAAACAGAGCTTCTATTGACATGAATATGACAATAGACCAGTCTGTAATGGTTTCGTCTATCCTATATAGGTATTGAAGTTCCTATTCTCTTTGTATAAAAGCGCTTAACTCGTCGAGTACCGGTTTTGTAGACACAATTATAGAACAATAGGTTGCGGTCACCGGTGACCGCTTGGTGTTTGACAGTTTAAATGACATTTAGCTCATAGAACGGGCTAGACAACGTATTATTTTATTTTTCTACTTTACAAACTTACTAGTAGGGAATCAAAAGTTCTTATAGTGTGGTCCTCGAGATATAACCGAGGAAAATTTGACGTAACTCTGCCTGCGTCTAAACATTGCTGTAGTATAAACATATAATGTTTTTGTTACTGGCTCGTTGGTCAAGTGGTCGCAAGTGCGACAGTCGGTCAAGGGGTCTCGGGTTCGATTCTCGGCACGGGCAAAGTATAACTGGGTTTAAAAAAATTCAGTAGTAGCCCGGAGTCTGAAAATGTACCACCGGGTATATGTATATGTATATGGTAATAGGCTCACTCCCTATTACATGGGACTCATAACATAAATAGTGGAAAGTGAGTGTTACATTGTAGCGGCATTAAGTGCTGTAATGTGCACTTCTGCCTACACCATAGGATATAAAAGGCATGATGTTATGTTTTTGTTACAGGACTATGTTATGCGGAGTTCGGTGCTAGGGTGCCGAAAGCCGGGTCGGCGTATGTGTACAGCTACGTCTGCGTCGGCGAGTTCATCGCGTTCATCATCGGCTGGAACCTCATACTCGAGTATATTATTGGTGAGCTAAGTCAATTCCTGTGTATTACTTCATATTTATTATTGTTTAACACATCTCTTAAGTAATATATACATTTTAATAATAATTATGCCTAGTAAGAAGAGTCTTACAGGAACAACAATTTGTGGATTACACAAAAAGTTGCTCCGTGCGATAATCGAATCGCGACATGTTGCGCGGCAGCCGTTTGCCCAGTCACCACACCAACCGTGCCGTCAGAATAGGATTCTTCTTCAGTTGTTCCAAATTGTTATTAGTTATGTAGAAAGTTCAATATATTTTTTATTCAAAGTTAACTTAATATCAAAAGTCACTCAATGTTTGTAAAACTAGCATTCTTTAGTTAAAAACTTTTCTGAACTCCTACAAACTAGTTTATATTTATTTCTTAACTCGTCGAGTACCGTCATTATAGACACAATTATAGAACAATAGGTTGCGGTCACCGGTGACCGCTTGGTGTTTGACAGTTTAATTGAAGAAAGGGGACATTAATATTAATTTATTTAATAAAAGATTTGTATTGTGTAATTCAAATTTATTCATATTCTAATATAAACATTTCAGGAGCAGCATCAGTAGTGAAGGCTTTGAGCGAATACTTAGATTCACTAACAAACAAGGCTATATCTACGCACCTAGAAGCGGCCATGCCTATAGACACGCCACATCTAGCGAAGTACCCAGATATATTCGCCTTCTCCGTTATCATGGCGTTCTCAGGTCAGTATTTTAGACCTTATTGATAGTGCAATAAGGTTCAAAATCTTTTATAGGTGAATATCTGACCTTTGTGTGCTTAAACGTCGGTACATCAGTAGATTCTCGACTTTATTACTACACAATAGAAGTCATCGGTTATATTACAATATAATGCAATATTAAAATTCGTTATAGGCTAAGGATTTAAGGATATTTCGAATATACGGATACCAGCACATCATTGGATTTTCGACTTTATGGTTATACCTACATTTAGAGGTGATAATTGGTTAAAGAAATTTAGCATTTTGAGGTAACTTTATATGCAGTAGCAGCTACGTGCATTTTAAGTGGTTTATGTAATAAAAATGTAACATATTTGTCAAACAAAATTTTTGTATGCTGACAGTGGCGCTTGCTTTCGGCGTGAAGGAGTCGACGAAGTTCAACAACTTCTGCACTGGTGTCAACCTGTGTGTCGTTCTGTTTGTCATCATATCTGGATCTTTTAAAGGTAATATAACATAACATCACGCCTTTTATCCCCGAATGGGCAGCCAGAGGTGCACACAGAAGTAACACCCACTTTTCACTATTTATGTTATGAGTCCCATGTAATAAACGGTGAGCCTATTGCCATATACCGGGCACAATTCCAGTCTCCGTGCTACTATTGAGATAAAACCCAGGATTACTTTGCCCCCTCCTGAGACCCCTTGCCCGGCAGTCGCACTTGCGACCACTCGGCCAACGAGGCAGTCATGCTTATAAAGTACTGTGTATGCCCGACTAATTTTGAAATGTACCAGGGTTCATAATCATGATCGCGTGAAAGATGACGTAGCAAATTCGATGCCGAAATATCGTGTTTTTTTATTTTCTTCGTAATAGCGTTTTTTCGCCTGTTTTACATACCTATGGTTTGAAAATCTATCTATTCTTTACTGAACTTTAACAACCATTTTCCTTTACAGCCGACACTAAGAACTGGCGTATCCCAGCTGAGGAAGTGCCAAAATCTGAACATAAAGACTTCGGTACGGGCGGGTTCGCTCCGTACGGACTTGCCGGGATCATCAAGGGAGCGGCCGTCTGCTTCTATGGGTTCATTGGTGAGTAGCTTTGTAAATTGTTATGGAAGGTGAAGTCATCGTTTATGGAATTCGGATAATTATTATGATCGCAAAATAGATTTAGAATTCTACAAAAGTCGTTAAATGTCTGATTTGTGAGGGAGCCATACTTTGGTACGAATCTTCGATCAACAATAACAACTAGATATCGGGTCGGAGCAAGAAAATAGTCTTTTAGTATGCTCCAAACAATCGTTGTTTAGTATGCTCCAAACACGGCCAACGTTCTCACGTCTCACGATGCCGCAGTGCGTGGAAAAATTATAACCGAAAAAGCAGTATAACGGCCGGAGTGTCTTACTTTTGATAAGTACATAAAGTATAAGTTATATTTTAAGCTTTTGAACTAGTAAATAATAGCAAATTAGACAAAATTACCAATTATAAACCAAAGCCACCAATGTTTGTGCGTGTGTTGGCGATCCCTTGGCCAAGCCTCGCCAACATGCGCACAAACATTTGTTTAAACAGAACAGTGGATGCATGGAGTCGATTTGTATTGTAAAATAAAATTGTATTGTAACCTGATTGGAAAAGAGTATCTAACCTATAGAGTTTCTTGCTTGTTCTTCTCCATAGGAATCTACACCTTGGAATGAGCAAATAGCTTCACTTTTAAATTTATATTGTTGACGTTCAAAAGTGCCTTCCTGGTCTAACTGAAATAAATGATTTTGACTTAGACTTTTAATGATAAAGTAAATAAACATATCATATACAAAAACGTACCGCTAATAAAAATAAGTGATGTATACTAAGATCCCGAAATCTTAATTATCATATTATAAAATTATTTTAGTGTCCAACGCGACTCCATACATACCTCCTGTAGCGAAATTCGAAATTTGAAGAAGCAAAACGAAACAAAACAAAACGATATAGATCGCAAGACAATAATGGAAAAATTATCTTTATTTGTTCGACCTTAAGGTTGAATTCAAACTAGATATTGTATAACTTATGTCTTTTAATTTCTACATGACAGGAGTAAGAAAATACTTTTCTTGTCTTATGTGACGAATGGTCGTAAGTATTAGATAATATTTTGACGATTTATGACTTTATTATTAGGTGCCATGGTTGTTATTAGGTTGAACTTAAAACTATTTTAAAACATTTTTCTCTGTTTGTTATTTTTTTACTATTATTATTCACACGGACAGAACTGGAGCTTGATTTTGTACGTAACCCTTTATCTAGTTGCTATTGTTGATCGAAGGTACGAATGAACTAGCTTTACCTGAGTGATACCACGGCCTTGCAGAAAATCGGGGTGAAACAACAATTTTGTTGTAGTCAGCTATGGTGCCGAAAGTTCAATCTTCACCCATCCCCAAATCACCAATCCTCCAATCCCAAATCACCAATCCCCAATCCCCAATCGCCAATCCCCAATACTCCAATCCCTAAATCGTCAACCCCAAAAAGATTGGCAAGGCGCTTGTCATTTTTCGATTGCTTACCATAACTTAAATACTGTTACGAATGAAGTAGAAGAAAAAACTACTTCCCCATTCCCCATAAGGTTATAGGAAAAACATGTTTATTCCCAAAACAATAAGCTATAATATCGCTTGCGTAGGTTTCGACTGCGTGGCGACGGCGGGCGAGGAGGCCCGTCGGCCGCAGAAGTCGATCCCGTTCGCGGTGGTGGCCTCCCTGCTCGTCGTGTTCCTGGCGTACTGCGGGGTCTCCTCCGTGCTCACTCTCATGGTGCCCTACTACATGCAGGTACTCTGCACCATACATCTCTGGATTATTAACATCTATTTGATATTTTTACCCACAGGAAATATTGTCGGAATGAACGTTGATTGTATATTTGTAAAGACTAATGGAATGTATTGTTTGTGTAGGACGAGAAGGCCCCGTTTCCGTTCGTGTACGACCAGTTGGGCTGGCCGTGGGCCAAGTACGCCGTCAGTGTCGGCGCCATCTGTGCACTCTGCTCCAGGTAACTTTGCTTTTTTCATTTTAAAAATATCTTTAATTCTTAGATAGGTACATAGATTTTGTGAATGTTCTTTCTTCTGTGACATAGTGGATATTCGATAGTTTACTTCATTGATATAGTATATGGCTTACTTATCTGACCAGCAGCTGTAGCCAAGTGCCATAAAGCGTTTGTCTACTTTAGAGTAGAAAACGAAATTATATGGGATTGATGTAAATTTTGACACTTGTCAGTGTCATCCCCATACATTTTGATTTCTACTCTCTCTGTAGACAAGCGCTAAAGTGGCGTTTGGCTAAAGGCACTGATCAATTTCAGAAATCCTCTAATTTCAAGTGACACAGGGTCTCTCATTCATGAACAATGTGATGTTTAATTAATTTATATTTGTATATATTTTGAGATATTTTGAAACCTGTATCGTTATATACTATTGCAGCGTCTATGAAAATAATATACTATGTTGCCATTTTATATAATAAATACCTGTTCTTATATATCTCCAGTTTGCTCGGCGCAGTGTTCCCTCTCCCCCGCATTATATACGCGATGTCGTCCGACGGTCTGTTGTTCCGGTTCATGGGACAGGTGAGCGAGAGGTTCCAGACTCCACTCATTGGGACCATGATCGCTGGACTCTTTACTGGTACGATGTTATAGATTATACTATACTTTTTTACGTGATTGACTAACGACCTTCACCTGGTCACCTTATGGTAACCCGGGTGTCCATGATAGCAACCAGCGTCGCCCAGGGACACCCGGAACAGCAAAGGGATTTGGGATAAGAGAGGATTGGGCTAAACGCAAACGCTCATCCCATTACCATTGGCAATTATTCCCATTAAACTATTTGAGGAATGCTCAACTAGTCTCAAGTCACACTGGAACTCATATTGATGAGTTGCGCAGTCAACTTGCAGCTATGGAGTATTTAACGAATGGAGTTTCTTGCTCGTTCTTTACCATTCGAATCTATATTTTGGAATGGGCACCTAGCTTTACTGACGGACTGACTGACAGACTATTATTTATTTTGTATTTGTTGACGTTTCAAAAGTACCAAATTATGCTGTAATATAATTGAAATAAATGCTTTGACTTTGATTCTATTATATGATTATATCTAAGTGTAGTTTAAAAAAATAATATTGTTATTTAATTTGCACCCCTAGGTACCCTGGCGATGATCTTCCGCCTGGAACAGTTGATCCACATGATGTCCATCGGCACTCTACTGGCGTACTCCATGGTCGCGTCCTGTGTACTACTGCTTAGGTAAATAAATTAAACATAGCGTCCTTTTAATACTTGTTCAGAGTGTAAAGGTCTAAGAGAGGGTGTGAATGTATAATGTTTGTAAACCACACACCCTACGTAGTATAGGAGAAATGCCTTGGACCAGCGTTTAAAAAAAGGACCTTCCATATTATTCTTTCTTTGGTCTTTTTCCTATTTTTATGGCAATGGCGACGAAAGACCAGACGGATCAGGTGATAGTAAGCAATGGGGAATACCGCCAGATGGAGCTAGTGTGACCCTCTCGTCTTTTCGTTCAATAAGGAATAGGGTAGTTGCCAGGGAATGAAAATTAAAAATCTAATTTATCCGTCAGTTAGATAATGAATAAATATTAGACAGGTATTTTTTTATTTTCTCGTATAAAGTTACAATACTTAGATAAAATGGAGTAAAGTTTAGGAGTGGGAGGTCGTTACGTCACTAAGTGCTACAGTAGCGTATTGTGACGTCACACGATATTTCAGATTATTATATCGTCGAAAGTATTTAATTTTGGGAGAAAAGAAAAAATACGTTTCTAATGTTTTTAATTCATCTACCAGACGGACATTAAAATATAATTTGGGTAACTACTCTATTAGATATGTCATCAATGATAACATCATTAGAGATTAAATGTTTGACTGCTACAGTGATTAGAAAAAAAATCTCGTGCTAGATTTGAGCCATCAGGAGAATAAAGAATGGTAACATTTATGGGCTCTGCCTATGGACACCGATAACATGAGAGGAGTTACGAAAGATAGGAGACTTGAGTTAAAATATTTGACCCACAGATACGAGTACAGCCAGCCCGCGCACCGCGGCCAGGGCCCGCTGCAGTGGTCGGCGCGCGCCGCGCTGCGACAACTCGTCAACGCGGACCGACACGCACTGCCCACCAAACTCAGCTCGCTCACTGTCTCCGTACTCGTCACTCTGTACGGTACGTCGGGTCAATAATGTCTTTTGATATCATTATACAGCCTATGAGAATTTGTTGTAAGACTATGGGGTGTGGGGTGTTTTAAGTGTAGGAGAGTCATGCTTCGGCACGAATGGGCCGGCTCGACCGGAGTGATACCACGGCCGAGCAGAAAACCGACGTGAAGCAACGCTTGCGTTGTGTTTCGTCGTGTGAGTGAGGTTTCCGGAGGCCCAATTACCCTCCCCTTCCCCAATCTCCCCAATCCCTGAATTCCCAACGATCCTCAAACTCCTAATCCCCAAAAGGCCGGTAACGCACTTGTAACGCCTCTGGTGTTCCAGGTGTCCATGGGCGACGCCGATTGCTTACCATCAGGTGATCCGTCTGCTCGTTTACCGGCTTATGCCATAAAAAAAGGAGTATGCCTTTTCCTTAATATTCATGCTTTGCGAGCGTTTATCTGAGAGAATCGGGCTTATCAGACAACTCTGCTACCCGGTCTCTGTCAAATATATATATAGTTTCCTAGTCGACTCTTAGTTGTTACACCCCCGAGAAGAGCAACCGTGAAGAAATATGTATTCTATGCTGATTTCACCACTCAACTCCCAAGTGAATCCATCTCCTTTTTTATCATCCTCATCATCATCAACAGCTGATAGACGTCCATTGCTGGACAAAGGCTTCCCCTGTTGTCTTTTAACATAATGAAAAATTACTGTTCATACGGGAGAGCCGCGTATGGGTCGACTCGACCGGAGTGATACCACGGCCTTACAGAAACGCCACGTCAAACAACGCTTGCGTTGTGTTTTGCAATCTGAGTGAGGTTTCCAAAGGTACAATCCTCTTCCATCTGCCACCCCAATCCCCAATCCCCAATCCCCAATCCCCAATCCCCAATCCCCAATCCCAATACCCCAATCCCCAATCCCAATACCCCAATCCTCAAACCCCAATCCCAATCCCAATCCCCAATCCCCAATCACCAATACCCAATACCCAATACCCAATACCCAATACCCAATACCCAATCTCCAAATCCAATACCTAATCTCCAAATCCAATCCCCAATCCGCAAATCGCCAAATACCCAATCCGTAAGGTATTGAAATACATATTTTTATTTGTCACAGGTATATGGTGTTTCGTGATGATGTCAAGTATCAATCAGTACGGTGACGCCATCCTGGAAGGCCACGTGGGCGCCGTGGCCATGTTGGCTGTAGGAACTATACTCGTCGTGGTCACTCTCGTGGCCATCTCACGACAACCTGTGTCCGATAAGAAACTGGCCTTCTCTGTAAGTAGCTTGATAAATATTATTGCGAGCAGCGTGCGCGGTCGCGGCGACGTCGCGCATCTCACACACGAAACTAGTAGAGCTTTTCTCAGAATATTCACGTGACTAACCCGCGATTTTACTTAACATAACGACATTTTAGTTTTCCCAACCTGTGGAGACCTGACGGTAAAAGCAAGGAGTTCATTAAGGAGCTCCCTCATCTCTCTTAACTCTTAATTAAAAGTTACTTAGGTCTATAACTTATGAACTCTGTATAACCCTGTATATTATGCCCGCCAGGTCCCCCTAGTCCCGTGGTTGCCAGGTATAAGTATCCTCATCAACGTGTACTTGATGCTCAATCTGGATTACATGACCTGGCTACGGTTCGCCGTCTGGATCGCCGCTGGTAAGTCATAAACAACCTTGTGTGTTCTTCATCATCATCAACTTATAAATGCCCACTGCTGACCAAAGGCCTCTTCTCACACGGAGAAGGTTTGAGCATTAATCACCACGCTGGCTCAATTCGGGTTGGCAATTTCAAACTAATAATTAGATTATACGCTTAGATTTCACCGTTTGTCAGTGGTGTCCAAATGATCTTAGAATGTACTTATAACTCGGAACAAATCACATTGGCACTTGTCGTTGATAGATTTCGAACCTGCGCCCTCGTTCATGAGAAGCGGACACCTTAATCCACTGAGCCTCGAATATGATATATTTTTGATATATAGTCTGAACTTCGAAATACACAGAAAATAATATGTTGTGTTGATTAATAACAACATTAATCACAGTTTATTATAATATAAATTATTTCCTCATTTATTTGATTTTTGCAAGAATTATGCCATGTTGCTAATCTTAGTAACACAACAAGACAGGACATGTGCTAAACATCTACCTATGTGGTATACATCTATACAGATAAATAAAATTCGAGTGTCTGTTTGTAATACCAAAATAACAACTTTTTAATACATGCATATGAATATATATACGGTACACATACCAAAATAACATTTATTACAATTTTTATGTCTGTCGGTCTGTTTGTACTGGCTAAGCTCTCGAATGGCTGGACCGATTTTGACGAGACTTTTTATGTTATATTTTCTTTAAAAAAAACGTTGCCCTACTCTAGGATTTTCTCCTGTGTCGCGTGCGTTAACAAACATACAAGTTCACATACACACGACAACCAGACCCGGAACAACAATTTGTGGATCACACGAAGTGTTGTTGCGTGCGGGAATCGAACCCGCAACACGTTGCATGGCAGCCGGTTGCCCAGCCACCGCACCAACCGTTCAGTCTAATCTTTTATTGGCAGTTAGCTGATGTCCTAAGAAGTAGCATAGGTTAGGTACTTTCATTTTGGAAAATTGAAACAAATAAAAAGTTATGTCCTAAAATTCATATTCTACGCGGACGAAGTCGCAGGCAATAGGTAGTAGAGAAATACAATCATACTCATATATTATTATTACGATATTTCACATTCTGACAAATATTGCATGAATGTTAATACTACAGAAGTGCATTTTAAATATATAAACAAAGAATTTATCGAATAAATATCGCATAGCTGTCAGGAAACGATGACTTCGTCACAGAAAAAGATGCTACAAAGGCTTGTAAAGATTAATTTATAGTATTCGTTAGAATTTACATAATATATTGCATATATATTATTTATCTCTAATGTTTAATCTGTGTTCAATGAAGACCGCGTCATAAGGACATTGTCGATGTATGTTACGCTCGAGCACTGAAACTAAATAAGTTACGCTAGACAATTTCGAAGAACTGTCAACTTCCTCTTTCTCCACCGTCAAAAGGAAATTTCATTAAACTATTTTTTCTTGTTATATCCATATCTTAGAAATGTAGTAGGTCTCTGTTGCTCAAGTATATTCAAGTTTAGCATCGTGCGTGCCCCTATTATTTTTCGAAGCAACCTATTCATGGTAGATGTCCCACCCACACGCAGCGCTTCACACCGCTCGCCATCGACAGGGAGTTCACGCTCACACATTGTAGCCCAAATGGTCCCGTACAGTTCGGTTTCAGAGGAATTTTCTCCCGCGGACCCTCCGATTGTGTAATGAACTCCCTGCCGTGGTTTTCCCAGTGGGCTACAACATGGGGTCCTTCAAGAGGGGAGTGAATAGGTTTCTTAAGGGTCGGCAAGACGCATGTAATGCCCTAAGTGTTGCAGGCGTACATAGGCCACGGTAACCACTTACCATCAGTTGGGTCGTGTGCTTTTTTGCCACCGTCATGGTATAACAAAAAATCAAGCATCCTTGTGCGTACTGCTACGGAGAAAGAGAAGAAATTCCATGAGTGGGATCTTCAAGTGTCTTCAAGGCTCGAGTGAATAGGTTACTTATAGGCAGATTTGTTCCATCGTAGGCCGCATCATCGCTTTCCACTAGGCGAGGTAGTGGTCAAGCGTAGGACCATCAAATATAAAAAATAGAGATAAACCTAAACCTGCGATTCCTAAATCACCTGATAAACGTGGAAACTCTTGCTGACCTTTCTTATGTAGATAAGACTTCTTTATGATAAAGGTCTATTTTCTTATGCGATTCATATACATATTTTGTACTTTAGTACAAAATCGTAATTCATTTTGATTCGTAATCTCGTGCATCTACTACGAAATCCGACACTATTCTTAACACATTAACGATTATAATAATATAGCTTATAAAGTCGCGAATCGTTTATTTTCAATTGAATGAATGAGGAAATCGTTCATATTTATAGATTAATTCCAATAGTTTGGTGTCGATAACCGCACAGTCCCTACGTCACTTACACGTCAAGCAGTTGATGAATAAATTAACGATGGCGACCTTAACTAAAATAAATTGCTAATATTAAGCTGTCATATTGTAAGTAATTTTTCTTCCGGTTTTTTGCCCTCACGTGTTATTCGAACATTCATAATAATTTTATTATTAGCGCCTATACTGACTGCCTCGTTGACGGAGTGGACGCAAGTGCGACAGCTGGGCAAGGGATCTCGGGTTCGATTCCCGGGTCGGGCAAAGTATTACTGGGTTTTTAACAAAATCTCAATAGTAGCACGAAGTCTGGAATTGTGCCCGGTATATGGCAATAGGCTCACCCCCTATTACATGGGACTCATAACATAAGTAAATAGTGAAAAGTGGGTGTTACATTGTACAGTGGCATAATGTACACCTCTGTCTACCCCTTCAGGGATAAAAGGCGTGATGTTATGTATGTAGTAGCGCCTATTATAGCCGTGTTCCAGACGTGTGGTATCACCCTTGAAATACCTGTTAGTGGTGTTTAAATGGTTGTCGATCCATATATAAAACTTTCGAGCATATCTGGTACTCGCTAGACGGACCGACGACATTGTTGAATTTACGGGGAGCCATTGAATGCAAGTGGCGAGCTGTCGTTCAACGTGGAGGACTAAGGGGGAGGCTTAATCAATGCCAATCACTACATAGTACAAAACAAAGTCGCTATCCGCCGTCTGTCTGTCCCTATGCATGCTTAGATTTTTAAAACCACGCAACGGAATTTGATGCGGTGTTTTTTAATAGATAGAGTGAATGTTAAGAAAAGTTTATACGTATAATACATGCATTTTACACCTGTGCGAAGCCGGAGCGGTTCGCTGGTTTCAAATTTCGCAAAAAAAGATATGCTAACTGATTTAAGGAAGATTAAGAACTTTGACAAGTAGTAACTCTCTTGCACCTACCATTTACTCTTCTCTGCATCACCCAAAGATCAGACTGGTAGAAAATGCCTGCGGCATTAAGTCCACCTTTTTGTACATTTTGTGCATGAAGCATATTAAATAAATAAATAAAAATAACTCGTTGTCAGATATCGGCTTTTAAACTAGCTGAATTATAGACTTTCCTACGGCATACAGGACTGAATGTTACTTTAAAGAATTGGATGACCAATTATTTTGTCTTAGACAAAATCATGGTCTGCCTTAATATATTTGCAAACATAATATATTCCGGTGTCTGTGTTCACGTGTATGTATATGTGTATTTACGACATCCGTCAGTAATTCCGATACATATCTTAATGTATGTAAATTAATCATGTATTTGTATGTATTTATGTATTACTAAACCCATCAATCAGTTGTCTGTGTTTAAAACCTAATTTGATTATTTTTTTTGAGTGTTATTCTAAGTTTTATAGTTGTTCGGCGAAACCAGTGCAGATTCAGGGCTTTTCCTTATGTGGGTGAGCAGAGGCCTTGCTCTGAAGTTGGTTACATGTTTTTTTTTCTTCTACGGTTTTATTCATCTCGTTACACGCGCGTATGACCTTTTTGTTGATATTAATATCTAGTTCCACTTCCTCGTTGCACTAATGATGTTAGTTTCCCGCGTCAGAAAAAAATATAGTCGTTATTGATAGTTAGATATTAATTGCACTTATAATAGTTCGTTACTTAGACATAATACCTACTTCTTTTTTTCACTGATATTTGACCTTTTGCTAAGGATTAAAACAACACGTACTTATCTAACATCGCTATCAGTGTCTGTCTATATGTCTGACTGCCTCGTTGGCCGAGCGCTTTGGTTCGATTCCCAAGTCGGGCAAAGTATAACTGGGTTTTTTTAAAAAACTTAATAGTAGCACGAACATAAATAGTGAAAAGAGGGTGTTACATTGTACATTAAGTGCCGCAATATAATGCCTACCCCTTCGCCCCTCGGGGATAAAAAGCGTGATGTTATGTTATGTTATTGCAATAATACACTGTGAAATATATTTCACTAGCTTTAACCCGCGGCTTCGCTCGCGTCACAAAAGGATAAAATGTAGCCTATGTGACATGTGCACACAGCGCCATCTATACCAATACTTTTCAATTTTTTCCGGAATAAAAAGTACTCTATTATTTAATCCGGACTTCTAACTTTACGCCTGCAAAAATTCAAAGCAATCGGTTTAGTAGTTACGGCGTGAAAGCGGAACAAACAAACAAACTCACTTTCCAATTTATAATATTAGTAAGGATTTTCATCCTGAAGTAAAATGGTTCGGTCTCGGTAATACAAAAGTTTTACAAACAAATAAGATGTTTAAAACAAAAAATGACTGGTGAACCTTTGTAAATAGTGTAAGTGGCGCGTGCGTGCCTGCAAAACATCTAATGTCTCATCTAATAGTTAATGAAATGTTTTTTTAACTTATGGCAAGTTTTTTTGGAGCCTTCTTTCTATAAAAATTCCTCATGTTATTAGTATCTCGTCCTATATAAATCTGTATGTTATAATGGTGTGTATGTATGTATATAATTATATATATATGTATATAAATAACTATGTACATATATAAATAAATAATATTATCGATTATCAAAATTTCCCACGGTGTTCGGGAATCACACGATCAAACACGCGACCAACGAGGTAGTGAATTCATATTTTAATGTAATTAATAACTATAATAACAAATTCATATTTATATACCGTCGCCAGCATATCAATCTCTACACTGTCAAATTTACTCACTGGATTTTCGACTTTATTTCAATACAGTTGGAGTTGATAGAGTAATTTGACAGAAAAGGTGTTCGACCTGCTGGCCACCGTAGAGTTTAGGTTTTATACAAAATTATGTAAAATATATTCATTTTTCATTTTGTTCTCTTGTAAATTCCAATTCGTATGATAGGTATCAGTTTCAAGGATTAACAAAGAAATAAGTTTTATTTCATTTAAATATTGTGTTATTTATTACACGGAAAACATGGCTTCTAAGTAAGATCTCTATTTAGAGATTAATCATGAGGAGGTTTTTGTCTCTGGAGCTCTAACCACCGGTAGCTTGGCCCATGCTCCCGCTACTAGTCGGCTCCTATTTTTATTTTTATTTTTAAAACTTATTTTTCTATTTTGTTTAATGTAATTATAAAGAATTTTAAATAAATGTAGGAAATCACAACGTAAAATACATTTAGATTCATTACACTAAAAGTTAAGTTCTCAATGTCAAACAATGTCTTATATTTATTAACACATAACATAACATCACGCCTTTTATCCCAGAAGGGGTAGATAGAAGTGTACATTACGGCACTTAATGCCACTGTACAATG